ATTTTAGTCAGCTGGTGGTCGATGGGTAACTGGGAAAGAGAAATCTGTTTTTCGGGTTGGTTATTTTAGTCAGCTGGTGGTCGATGGGTAACTGGGAAAGAGAAATCTGTTTTTCGGGTTTGGTTATTTTAGTCAGCTGGTGGTCGATGGGTAACTGGGAAAGAGAAATCTGTTTTTCGGGTTTGGTTATTTTAGTCAACTGGTGGTCGATGGGTAACTGTGAAAGAGAAATTCTGTTTTTCGGGTTTGGTTATTTTAGTCAGCTGGTGTATTAATAAGAGAGCTTAATGTAACTTCACAATTCCGTATTAAACGTAATTTAACAGTAGCGGATAGGGATATCTCTTATCCCAAAACATACGCTTGAGTTCTGTAAATAATTCACTATGTGATTTTTACGATTCCTGCGATACATGGTGTTGTCTCCTGGTCGGATATCAAAGGTGAGAGATCACCATGTGAACACATGTTTCGTAATATAGATTGGCTGTAAAACAAACAAAATAAGGTTAGATTTTGAGTCAGAAAAGTAAAAAATGAATTCAAACTAACTAAGCATATTTAGCTTCTCTTACCGCATATTCCATATCATAATGACTGATAGAATCCTCCAACATGTAGCATTGTCTAACTCCGTATCATACGGCTTGGTAGAATCCCCCAACATTTAGCATTGTCTGTCTTCATATCATACAGACATGTAGAATCCTCCAACATGTAGTATTGTCTAATTCCATTTCATACGGACTGGTAGAATCTCCCAAAAGTTAACATTGGCTAACTCCATATCATATGAACTGTTAGAATCCCCCAACATATAACATTATCTAAATTCATACTGTTAGAATTCCTTAGTGTGTAGCATTGTCTAAACACAAACTGACAGAATACCTCGACACGTAGCATTATCAAAACACGGACTGGTAGAATCTCGCAATATCTAGCATTGTCTAACTCTATATCGTACAGATTGGTAGAATCCCACAGAATGTAGTTTTGTATAACTCCATGTCATACGTATATTTAGAATACCCCAAAATTTAGAAGTTCCTAACCCCATATAATAATGACTGCTATAATCTTCTAACATGTGTCATTATATAAACGCATACTATTAGAATTCTCTCGTACGTAGAATTTTTGAAACACGGACTAGATGAATCCCTCAACATGTAGCATTGTCTAAACACAGAGTTGTAGTGTCTCCCAGTATTTAACATTATATATAAACAAACTGGTAGAATCCCTCAACATGTAGCATTGTCTAAACACAGAGTTGTAGTGTCTCCCGATACTTAACATTATATAAAAACAAACTGGTAAAATCCCTCAACATGTAGCATTGTCTAAACACAGAGTTGTAGTGTCTCCCAATACTTAACATTATATAAAAACAAACTGGTAAAATCCCTCAACATGTAGCATTGTCTAAACACAGAGTTGTAATGTCTCCCGATATTTAACATTATATAAAAACAAACTGGTAAAATCCCTCTAACATGTAGCATTGTCTAAACACAGAGTTGTAGTGTCTCCCAGTATTAACATTATATAAAAACAAACTGGTAGAATCTCGCAACATGCAGCATTATCTAACTCCGTATGATACGGACTGGTGGAATCCCCAACACATAGTATTTGCTAACTATATATATATATGATAATGATGATTAGAATCTCCGTTATGTAGTATCTTCTGGTTCATATGTAACATAATTTTAAATGTAAAGAATAAAAACTACACCTTCCTAAACTAATTCCGGTATTTTATCTTATGTGTTTGGATTGGCAACATTAGAAGTGTGATCCTTGAACTGCAACATGGGATTTACCTTAGGGGGAGGGGTGGGTGCCATATTTAAGGGGAAATGTTCCAACTATCTTCTATGTGAAAGAAGTCGTACAACAACAGACGTGTAGGGAATTGTTACCATCAGCTGTATGAGATAAAAACTCAGTAACATGTTTGAACTGTATAAATATGATTGGAAAATAAATAAATAAAGTGTTTCTAACTGGCGTCTTCCCCAACAGTGTGGATAAGATGCCAAATATAGAAATAACACCCAGACCAACTAGTAATCAAAGTAAAGCGTACGAAAAGTAACGTATTTATTAAGTCATGATCAACAAAGCATTAATGAAGAAAATATAGGAACATTTAGCCACAATATCCACATATTTCTTGGCCAATGACACACTCCTCATGCATCCAGCGATGGCATATGAGACTTCGCCCAGTCACATTGTGGCCCATTCTTAAGGAAGTAGTGACAGTCACGTGCTACACAAAACTAGTCTTCGTCTATGTTCTCACTCTTACTGTTGTATTCGGGACGGCCGTTCAGATCCTCACCAGAAGATGTAATCTCTTGGTTTTTACCCTGTCTGTACCTTCTTCAATGTCTTTTCTTTTTTGCTTCAGTTGCGAGTGGCGTCGCATAAGTAACTTCAACTAATCATAGCCTGCCATCTTATATTCAATCAATCATAGCCTGCCATTTTATATTATTTAACTTCAACTAATCATAGCCTGCTATTTTATATTCAATCAATCATAGCCTGCCATTTTATATTATTTGTTAAGCTTCAACTAATCGTAGCCTGCCATTTTATATTCTTTGTTAAACTTCAACCAATCATAACCTGCCATTTTAGATTCTTTGTTAAATTCAACCAATCATAGCTTGCCATGTTAGATTCTAAACTATGCACAATATACTTCTTCTCAGCAAATTTGTAGGTCAAATGACGGATAGTTCTTGCTGTTGGTGGATATCCTGCTTTCTTAAGTTTCTGAATATAGGCTATAAGACTTTCTTCACGCTCAAGACCCCACAAATCCCGTAGGACCTGGTCTTATAAGTATTTTGTACGGTATTTGAAATGTTTTGGAAGCATCCCACATTGACATTTTTCCTGATTTTTACTTCTTATGCTACATATAGTAAACTCTCCTCAGACCAAGAGGCATGATCGGTCTTTCGTTTGTAATTTCTAGGCATTTTCTGCAAATAAATTAACCCCAACTATTGTATTGTATTTATATAATATGTTACAATAATTATAACTAATATATATATACGGTTAACATTATTTAAATTATTCAAATATTATAACAAATTTTTCACACCTGTTAGACTACTACGAAATAAACCTGGGTTATAATATAGTAGGAATCTTTACCAATAAGTATGGTGGCGTCTTGTCCCACACCGTTGCATTCTATTCTCGAATACTAAAACCACATAGCTCACCAGCCTACCTATTATGGCCCAGTCTATGATTTCAGTTAGGAATTATTTCACATTATTTCACTATTTACTTACAAGGGCCTATGTAAAAACATCCTCACATTAAATTACACGTGTACTTACCGAGAAATATTGCGCTACTAGCCAAAACAATGCAAACACGTTGCTATAACGGTTGCATTTATCTTACATAAAGACAAATACATTAGGCTATAACTTGAATTTAATTAAATCCACGATTATCTAACATATTTCGTATCAATTTTATAAATTGTAAAAACATTAGAAAAACAAATTCTCTCACATACGCATATATATAGAGGCGCCAACACGGGAGTGAAAAGAGTGGAGTTAGATTCCTACAAAATATATTGAGCAGACTTCATAGGATTGCCCAAGACGAAAATAAAATACCAAAATACAAAGCTTCCAAAACTACTGTTCAAAACTATAAAATTGAAGATAGAAGTATGTTTGTTTGTTTGTAATTAAGCACAAAGCTACACAATGGGCTATCTGTGCTCTGCCCACCACTAGTATCGAAACCCGGTTTCTAGCATTGTTAGTCCGCAGACGGACCGCTGTGCCACTGGGAGAAGATAGAAGTAGTGTTTCCTCAAAAATAGTGTGTGACCAGAGTTCAACCCTCTACACCTTTGAGTCTAACACTGGAACACAGTATTGTTACGACAGCAGAAGTCACACGACGCCGGGAGCATGCGTGCTGGAGTTTCTCGAAGGATCATGAATTTTCCTAGCAACTTTAGTTTGTTCGAAGCGCCCTCTTTTTTAGTATATAAGCCTGGCGAGAAAAACCAGCGCGATTGAAGAGATATAGATAAATTGCAGAGATAGATAGAGTGAAGAGATAGATAATTGAGTCAAGCGAAGAGTAGGCACCGTAAGTAAAGTGTGTGGATCACTGTGATTTATAGCGTGTTATAAAGGTTGTTAAGTTTAAAGTGACTGTGAAAATTCTGTGTATTACAAAAAGTTTGTATCGAGAAAGAATAAACAAGTTTTAATCAAGAAGGGACTTGTATCGCTGAAGTTCTTCGGAAAGAATTTATACCGAAAATTAACAAACAAGCAGATACGCAACAGTATATATCTATAATACGAGTACATATTCTTTTGATATTTTAAAGGTAAGTTACAATGATAGTATCGTTTTTTAGTTGATGTGATTTTTTGTTCTTTTTTAAACGCACTTTAAGCTATCTGCGCTGTGCCCACCCCTTTATCTGGACGGAAAATGATGTGTAATTAACGGCTCTTGCACCTTCGTAATGAGCACCCAGTTTCCTAATGCAGACTGAAATTATGTTTGTCCCCCTGTCCCTCCAACTTACAGTATAGATCAGCATCCTAACAGTTAGGTATATATCTTAGAATGATTAATCTTCAAAATAAACTAAACAAATGTTTCTCTTCACAGTTTTCATCTAGGGCCCCGCCTTCAAGGAGAGAAAAGTCCACAACCATGGAATACATCTTGTCTTACTTGCAACAGCTAGAAAGGGTACAGCAATGCTGAAAAAAAAGCATTTATTTTCTAGAAGTGATTAAAGAATAACACATTCATGTTGATTGAATTTTTATGTGATCACAATAGTTAGCTTGAGCGTACTTACATTAAACGTTATAACCGTTTTCAGCCATTTCAGGTGTTAGTCACTGTTTGTTGTTTAAGTCAGTATATCATTTAATTTTGCAATCAATGTGTGAGTACACGTGCATTTTTGCATTATGATGGAAGTTTTGATAATCAACTTCTCTACGTATCAAGTTGTTCTCAGGGCAAGTTTTCCCCAGTATGGTAAATCTATTGTGTGTTTATGAAGAAAGGTGATAATCACTCTTGTAGAAATTAGTAATACATTATGTACAATACTAAATCTAATGTGTTAAAAATTCATGTTTGATCTAAAGCTCCAGCTGGAATGTTTAGAGAAAGCTCTGGGATAAAGCCCATATATCGAAAATGCGCGTGTTCCAAATTTTTATTATATAGACGCACACTGAATCTATCTGAGGCCTTTCATACA